CTAAAATAAATCTCAAATATTTAGGTAAGGTGATTGGTTCTTTTGATAGAAATTATAGAGAGAACTTTTGAAATTGCTAGATACTTGTTTCAAGTCACTTTGCATAATGCAATCTTTGTTTCTAGGACTGAAGGCTCTTACCTATGTTATCCAACAGGATCCTACTCTGGCTCTTCAACACCAGATGACAATAATCGAATGTTTAGACCATCCTGATCCCATTATTAAAAGAGAGGTAAATTGATAGTCTGAACACTGTGCGAAATGTTAAAATTTTTAAACAACTTAGTGATCATAGTAAACTTCTTGACAGTAAGCCCTTCTTAAGCTTTATTTTATTTAAATTTGCATTTTGTAATTACCTATTAACTGATTGCCCAGTAGATCTACAGTAAAAGTAGGAGAATCAACTGTATTATAAACCTATGTTATTCCATTTATTGGTGGTTATTAATGGTCATTCCATTTATAACACTGTTTTTATTTCTATTCCTCAACTAGACGCTGGAACTTCTTTACAGAATTACGAATACACAGAATGTAACAGTTATTGTTCAGAAAATGCTTGACTATTTACACCAGAGTAAAGAAGAATATATCATTGTCAATTTGGTTGGCAAAATAGCTGAGTTGGCTGAGAAATATCCTTTATTTGGACCATGAATCATAAAATGCATTTAGTTACATAATTACTTTAACATGATTGGTATATTGTGTTGGTATGTATAGTGATAAGGTCACTAGAAGTTTGATTTCAGAAGACCAGCAATAATTTGCATTCCTGGTTTTGAAGCCTCTTGTTCACTAAAACAGGAGTTTATATAGACTTCTTAGGGGATAACTTTTTCTTTTCTTTAATATAGTTGGTCAGTATTTTGAGCTGGATAATACAGGAGCCTCCACCTGATTCCTCTCAGTTCTTTCTCATCTTTGACTTTACTTCCTACCCCATTTTTTTTCTGAGTTCAAGGTCTTGTTTCTTTAGGATGAGGTAGTGGTAGGGGGTCAAGATGCTAAAACTTACCCTTTATTCTATTGTTTATACTAGAAATTGTCATAGTAAAGTGGTTGAGAACTCCACTCACATGGTAGCTTTCTTCACTTTTTATTTGTAGTTTATTTTTATTATTTATTTAAGAATGAGAGAGAGAGAAACACATAGGGAGACAGAGAGCTCCTACCAGCTGTTTCACTATCCAAATGCCCACAAAGGCTGGGACTGAGCCAGGCTGAACTCCAAGCTGGGAACTCATTGTGGGTTTCCCAGATGGTGGCAAGGACTCAAGCACTTGAATCATCATTTGCTGCCTCTGGGGTGTGCATTAGAAGGAAGCTGGAGTCAGGAGTGAAACCAGGACTCCAACCCAGGGGTGCAGACATCCCAAATGGCGTCCTAACCATTAGGCAAAACACTCACTCTATTTATTTTTTAAAAGTCAGAGAATCTTTACAGGTCATGGGATAGTCTGCACTTATTTTTTCTTAAATATTTATTTGAAAGAGTTACACACACACACACACACACACACATATAGAGAGAGAGAGAGAGAGAAAAAGAGAGATCCATCTTTCATTTGATAAATCACTCTCTAGATGGCTGCAACAGCTGTGGCTGGGCCAGATTGAAGCCAGGAGCTTTATCCTATTCTCCTACAGCTGTGGCTGGGCCAGGTTGAAGCCGGGAGCTTTATCCTATTCTCCTACATTGGGTGGCCCAAGTACTTGGGCCATCTTCTGCTGCTTTCCCCAGGTAGGCTATTAGCAGGGAGCTGGATAAGGAAGCGGAGCAGGTAGGACATAAACTGGTGCCCATATGGGATAGTAGCATCCAGGCCGTGGCTTTACCTGCTACACCACAACACTGGCCCCATCTCTTCTTTTTAAAATGATGCTTTTTGTTTAATTCTAAAAAAGAGTGAGTGAATAATAATGATCAAATTATTTTGGAAATTGTCTTAAGTATAGTTTTGTTCCATACAGTGCCATATCTCTGGCTAGGAGAATGACAGAATTTTAGAACTGTTGCAGGACAAGTAAGAAAAGAGGTTAAAACAACTTGTTCAAGTGAGTACAAGCAACACCTAGCCTCTCTGAAGTGTATATAATTTTTCATTATTGTCCATAGTTTGTTTGATAGTTTACTTCTTCTAATTATATTGCAGTTTTTTTTGGTTGACTATTATGTGCAGGCCTGGTGCTTGATAAAGTGACAAAAGCTCAGTTTATTAACTTATTAGATAAGTGTTGATCAGCTATTTTAGATAACCTGGGGTATAGGACACTTTACGGCAGAGGATAAAGGTAAATGGATGAATCGAGGTTATTTTTAAGAAGGTTGCTACAGAAGGGGTAGTTTAGTAATTGGATAGTTTTTGGAAGTGTACTTATTCTTAACACTGTGGACACATATGCCCCTGATAATGCATGGTTTATTCAGACGATGAATGCTGTGTTTTCTGTGGGAGGAGATGTAATACATCCTGATATTCCCAATAACTTTCTGAGACTGTTAGCAGAAGGTTGGTATACTATTAACATTCTGTAAAGATCTTAAAATTAAATGTTTTTATTTTAGAGACCTTAGAGAATTTAGTGGAAATTCACAGGATATATCAATTTCTTTGTAGGTTTTGATGATGAAGCAGAAGATCAACAATTGAGACTCTATGCAGTTCAGTCTTATCTCACTTTGCTAGATGTGGAAAATGTGTTCTATCCACAGAGATTTCTTCAAGTTATGAGTTGGGTGAGCAAAGTACATTATATCATAAGTTTTTACAGCATTCTTTTTTATAAAAACTAAATGTTAACATGTTTCCTTCAGAAGTCATTCAGTTGTACTTGGCTGTCTCCTTCAGCTGCCACTTTTCTACCCCAGTGGCTCCCTTCTGAAACCTAACTATTTTCTCTGTCTCTGCCATCTCACTTGTTTTTTAAATATGGAAATTTGTCTGGTTATCTGGTATTTACAAAGTATGTTTTTTTTTAAATTTACCTTTTTTAATATTTCATTTATTTATTTTTAAAGTAGACTGACAGAGAGGGAGAGACATAAATCTTCCATCTGCTGGTTCATTTCCCAGATATCTGCAACAGCAGAGGTTGTGCCAGGCCAAAACCAGCAGGAAGCTGGATCAGAAGTGGAGAAGCTAGGACTCAAACCTATACTCCAAAATGAGATGCAGGTGTCTTATGGCTGCTAAGCAGTGACTTGACCTGTTATTGTTGCATTTTTTATGTGAGTCCATATTTGAAAATGTGAATACTCATGTATAAGGGGGCTTCAAAAAGTTAATGGAAAATATAGATGATCTTATATTCCATTTTCCATGAGTGTTTTGAAGCACCTTTGTATCTGTGAAGTCTTATTTTTCTGTGGCTGTGTAACAGTGTCACCACAAACTTAGGAACTTATAGCAACACAAATTTAGTCTGACAGTCAAAGTCCAGGCATGGCTTAGCTGGGTTCTCTGCTTAGTATCTTACAGAATTACAGTAGGTATCATCTGGGGCTACTGTTTATGGGAAGGCTAAGTAGTGAAGGATCCACTTCCAAGCTCGTGTATATTGGTACAACTGAGTTTCTTGTGTCAATTCTTATGACTGAGGGTTTCACTTTCATACTGTCAGCTGTAGGCTGTCCTTAGCTCTTATAGCCACTCTCCATTGTTGCCACTAGCTTCATCAGAGCCAGTGAGGGAGATCAGTTCTTTACAGGACAAAGGTCACAATTTTATGCAATATAATCACATGTAATCCTTATATCCATTCACCTTTGGGTATACACATAGGTGAGTGTTTACTTAGGGGAGATTTAGACTAGTCTAACTAGTTATAGAGTCATAGGATATGCACATTTTAATATTTTATAGTATTGTCAAATATTAGCATGTTAACTTAAATTTTTCCAGGCTTTTATTAAAAATTTTTTCTCATGTACAAGAAACTTAAAAGCCTTGTATAATAATAAATACTCCTATAATTTTCATTTAGCTGCCAATCTGCAACTATTTCTGGGTTTATCTATAGTTGTTTTAATGATGCACTTAAAATTGAGTTGTAAATACCATCATACTTGTCTGCTAAAAATTCACTGTGAATCTCCTACATAACCATATCACACCTAATATGTAACATTAATTCATTTAAATCACTTCATATATAGTTGCTCTTCAGATTTATCTAGTCCCAAAAATGTCTCTGATAGCTGTTTTTCTCCTCTTCCTAATCCCAGATGTTCACAAATTGATTCTGGGATTTATCCTTGGTCTCTTCTAATTTTTAATGATCTCCAGTTTCTTTTTGTTTTTAAGGCATTGATTTTTTTAGATGAATACTGTTGACTTGCAGGAAGTCCTCATTTTCTACCTGTTTAATAATAATTTCTATTCAAATTAAACATTTTTGCAAGACTCCTACATAGGCAATGGTGTATCTGTCCCACTTTATCCTATCAAGATGCATATAATGAGTGTCAGTTTGTTCGCTCATAAGTTTGTTTGGCTATGATGGTGACCTCCAGATCTTTACAATGTAAAGGTACCCATTCCAATGTAATTTGTTATGAGGTGATTCTTTGAGACTGTGTGAATGTCTTTTTTTTTCTCCCCAGTTATCTTTTTCTAATGGTTTTAGCATTGATTATCCTTCTTTAATTATTATATTTAGTGCTTAATTCTTTTTAAAAATTTATTTATTTGAAAGGCAGAAAAAGAGACAGAGACAGAAAAAGAGATCTGTCATATGCAGGTTCACTCCCCAGTGCCGGCACCACCAGGGCTATGCCACGCTGAAGCTAGGAGCCAGGAATTCCATTAGTATCTTCCATGTGGGTGGTTGGGAGCCGAGTATATGAGCCATCACCTGTGGGCTCCCAGGGTGCACAGTAGCAGGAAGCTATCAGAAGTGGAACCAGGACTTGAACCCAGGCACTCCAATATGGGATGCAGGTGTCCCAAGTGGCATCTTTAATATTTTTTCTGTTTTATATTGAGATTTTATTTATTTATGTCAAAGGTAGTTTCAGAGAGAAAGGTCTTCCATCTGCTGGGCCACACAATAACTGGAGCTGGGCTGATCTGAAGCTAGGAGCCAGGAGCTTTGTTGGAATCTTCCGTGGGGATACTGGGAACCAAACACCTGGGCCACCCTCTACTACTTTCCCAGGCCATAGTAGAGAGCTGGATTGGAAGAGGAGCAGCCGGGACTAGAACCTGCTATGCCACAGCGGCAGCCCCTTTAAGCATGTTTCTATAAAAGTCAAGGAGTTTTATGTGTACTTCATGGAAAGAATCAGAAAGAAAAAATACCTCTCCTATACTTTGCCTGAAGCACAAATCCATTAATGTTGGATTTTTGAACAGGCATATAGATTACCTCCTGTTCTGGAGCTACTTTCCATCTATATTAAAGCACTCCTAAGAATTATCTTACTGTGTTAGGATTGAATTTAGTTAGTCCTCTTTCTCCTTCCTACTTTTCTTGTTACTAGCCATAAATTTTCCTTTGCCTATCACTTTACCTCTCTTTCCTTGCTTGTGCCAGTATTACATCAAAGACATGAAAATATCCCCTAAATCTCGTTTAGGAAAGATCTCACACTCCCCCAATTATCAGTTTATTAATGCCTCTTTGATCAACAAGATCATTTGTCACTTGAGTAAGAAAATAATATGAAGGATATCATTGTTCCTCAGAGTTATTCTGTGGACCATCTATGTTAGGCTCAGCTGATGCTTGTTCAAAATATATATCAAAGATACACTACCACACAAATAGTAAATCAGAATATCTGGGGATCAAGCCTAGAAATCTATATTTTTATGAAATGCCTCTGGTGACTTAATCACAGGAGCATGGGACAATGATTTAAATGTTTTTTGGAAAATAACAATGTGAAAGTGCTTAGAAAAACCAACAACTATGACACCGTAGAACACTTGCAGACCCCTAGCATATTATTCAGTGTAGTGCTAGAAATTTTTGACAATAAAAAGAAAGGAGGAAATCAAATGATCCCTGTTTACAGATGATATGATTTATATATACAGAGATGCCTAAAGACTCCACCAAGAGACTGTTAGAACTAATAAGTGAATTAGTTAAAGTTTCAGGATATAAAATAAATGCACAAAAGTCAATAGTGTTCTTATATGCTAATAATGAAGTTGCTAAAAAAGAATTATAGGGATAATCCTATTCACAATAGCTACAAAATATGTAAAATACCATAAATTTAACAATGGACATGAAAGACCTCTATAATGAAAATTGTAAAACAATGATGAGATAAATTGAAGAAGATTAAAAATGGAAAGAACTCTCATGTTTATGGATTAGAAGAATTAATATTAAAGTGTCCATGCTACCCAAAGTGATTTATAGACTCAATTTAGTCCCCATCAAAATACCAGAATTACATTCTTTCAGAACTAGAAAAAATAATCCTAGAATTTATAAGATGGCACAAAGCCAAAACAGTCTTGAACAGAAGGAACAAAACTGGAGGTATCACAATAACAGATATTAAGACGTCCTACAGAGTTACTGTGTCCAAAATAGTATGGTGCATGGTACTGACTTAAAAACAAATAGACCAATGGAACAGAATAGAATTCTCTGTTCCATATGCAGATGATTGAAACACTACACAAACCTGCTGACCAGAATCAACTCAAAATCGATTAAAAACCTAATTGTAATTTCTCAAAATACTAGAGGAAACATAGGAGCAGTACCTCTGTTGTAGCGCAGTGTGCTATGCTGCCACTTGAATGCCAGCATCCCATATTGGAGCATTGGTTTAAGTCCCAGCTATTCCACTTTGAGTCCATCTCCCTGCTAATGTGGCTGGTAAGGCAACAGAAGGTGGCTCAAGTGCTTGGGTCCCTGTCACCCATATGAGAGACCCAGATGGACTTCTTGACTTGTGGCTTCACCCTGGCCTACCCCTGGCTATTATGGGCATTTGGGGAATGAACCAGTGGGTATAAGATACTCTCTGTCTCCCTCCTCTTGCTCTGTCTTCCCCCCGTCTCTCCTCCTTCCTTCCTCTTTGAAATAAATAAATATTAAAATAAAAAGTAAAAGAAAACATAGTCGAAGCACTTTTTTTTTTTACCTTTTATTTAATGAATATAAATTTCCAAAGTACAATTTATGGACTACAATGGCTTCCCCCACATACCGTCCCTCCCACCCACTACCCTCCCCTTTTCCACTCCCTCTCCCCTTCCATTCACATCAAGATTCATTTTCGATTATCTTAATATACAGAAGATCAGCTTAGTATACATTAAGTAAGGATTTCAACAGTTTGCTCTCACACAGAAACATAAAGTGAAAAATAATAGATGATTTTTTTTTCAATGAAGATGAAATCAGATCAGACCTATTGTCATGTTTAATCCCAGTGAGAGTCAAGTTGGGAGTTGATAATTTCTTTTTCTTTTTCTTTTTTTTTTTTTTTTTACAGAGGATCAGTTTAGTATACATTAAGTAAAGATTTCAACAGTTTGCACCCCCATAGAAACACAAAGTGAAATATATTGTTTGAGTACTCGTTATAGCATTAAATCTCAATACACAGCACATTAAGGACAGAGATCCTACATGAGGAGTAAGTGCACAGTGACTCCTGTTGTTGACTTTACCAATTGACACTCCTGTCTATGGCATCAGTAGTCTCCCTATGCTCCAGTCATGAGTTTCCAAGGCTATGGAAGCCCTCTGAGTTCTCCGATTCTTATCTTGTTTAGACAAGGTCATAGTCAGAGTGGAGGTTCTCTCCTCCCTTCAGAGAAAGGTACCTCCTTCTTTGAAGACCTGTTCTTTCCACTGGGATCTCACTCGCAGAGATCTTTTGCCAGAGTGTCTTGGCTTTCCATGCCTGAAATACTCTCATGGGCTTTTCAGCCAGATCCGAATGCCTTTAGGGCTGATTCTGAGGCCAGAGTGCTATTTAGGACATCTGCCATTCTATGAGTCTGCTGAGTATCTCACTTCCCATGTTGGATCACTCTCCCCTTTATTTATTCCATCGGTTAGTGTTAGCAGGTACTAGACTTGTTTATGTGCTCCCTTTGACTCTTAGTCCGAAGCACTTTTTAAGACATGTACACGCAACAGTTATTTGCCCCCAAATGTAGGCAACAAAACCAAAAGCGAACAACTGGGATTATATCTAAGTAACTCTGCCCAGCAATCAACAACTTACAAAATGGCAGAAAACATTTGCAAACTGTTCATCCAACAAAGGATTAATATCCAAAATAAAAACAGGAGCTCAATTCAACAACAAAAAACAATCCAGTTAAGAAGTGGGCAAAGGATCTGCATGTACATTTCTCAAAAGAGTAGATATATTTGGCTAAAAAATACATGCAAAAATATTGTTAGCCATAAGAAATGCAGATCAAAACCAGTTAGAATGACTTATCAAAAAGACAAAAAGTAACAAATGCTGATGAGGCTATTGACAAAAGGAAACTCTTATACACTGTCCATGAGAATACAAAGTAGTGTAGCTGTCATGGAAAACAGTATGGAGTTTCCTCAGTAAAATTAGATCTACCATATGACCCAATTATTCCATTTCTGGATACATCTGGAGGAAATGAAAGTAACCTATCAAAAGATGCCTATATTCTTAGGTTCAGTGCACCATGCATCACAACAACCAAGATAAGGAATCAACCTAGATACCTGACACGTGGATGAATGGATAAAGAAAGTATGTCTATACTACACACAAACCGGAATCTTCGAAAAGAAATGTTGGCATGTGGAAGTGAAAAAAAAAATAGATCTGAACTTAGAGTGGTGATTACTAGAGGCTGAACTTGCAATAGTGATTACTAGAGGCTGGAAAGAGTAAGGGGTAGGGGGAGAGAGATTAGATAATGGGAACCAAAACTGTTAGATAGAAGTAATAGGTTCTTGGCCTGTGCCACTGCTCAGTAGGCTAATCCTCCACCTGCGGCACCAGCACCCTGGGTTCTAGTCCCGGTTACTCCTCTTCCAGTCCAGCTCTCTGCTGTGGCCTGGGAGTGCAGTGGAGGATGGCCCAAATGCTTGGGCCCTGCACCCACATGGGAGACCAGGAGAAGCACCTGGCTCCTGGCTTTGTATCAGCACGGTGCGCCGGCTGCAGCGGCCATTTGGGGGGGTGAACCAACGGCAAAAGGAAGACCTTTCTCTCTGTCTCTCTCTCTCTCACTGTCCACTCTGCCTGTCAAAAAAATAAATAAATAAATAAATAAAATAAAAGAAGTAATAGGTTCTGGTGTTCCATTATGGTAGGGTGACTGTATCATGTAACTCTACAGAATTGCAAGAGAGATGTATGCTCCAAACAGAAAAGATTAATAATTACAAAGTTACCTCTCTCTCTCTTCTCTCTACACCTCTCTCTGTAACTCTGTCTTTCAAATAAATAAAAACTTAAAAAAAAAAAAAAAAAAGAGGCTGGCCCTGGCCTGAAGCGCCGGCATCCCATGTGGGCACCGGTGCTAGTTCCGGCTGCTCCTCTTCTGATCCAGCTCTCTGCTATGGCCTGGGAAAGCAGTAGAAGATGGCCCAAGTCCTTGGCCCCCTGCACCTGTGTGGGAGACCTGGAAGAAGTTCCTGGCTCCTGACTTCAGATTGACTCACCTTCAGCCATTGCGGCCATCTGGGGAATGAACAAGTGTATGGAAGACTTCTTTCTCTCTTTGTCTGTAGCTTTCCCTGTAACTCTGTCTTTCAAATAAATAAGTAAATCTTAAAAAAAATTGCTAAGCATGTTAATAAAAATTATAAAGATTTTAAAAAACACCAATAACCAACTTTAGAAGTTCAGAAGAAAACTAACTTGTTTTATATGTTGTTAATGACAAGATTTAGAAAACCTTTTAGTATTCAGTTTTGATTCTTTTGTATTTAATATTCTTGGTATAATTTTGATGCTTAAATATATGTGTATATTTGATAGTTTCTTTGAGAGAGTATGTTTAATATAGATTAAATTCACTCTTGAAGTAGGTATTTCTGAGTGTAGTTTACTTTATAACTTGATATTTATGTATAAACATCTGTATTTTTCTAATAGGTGCTAGGGGAATATTCCTACCTCTTAGACAAGGAAATGACAGAAGAAGTTATAACCAAACTCTACAGATTACTTATGAGTGACTCCATTTCTTCAGAAACAAAAGCCTGGTTAATTGCTGCTGTAACTAAATTGACTCCCCAAGCACATTCTTCTAATATAGTTGAGAAATTAATACAAGAATTTACCGTATCTTTGGATACCTGTATGAGACAGCATGCATTTGAATTAAAACATTTGCATGAGAACATGGAACTGATGAAGAGTCTGCTTCCAGTTGATAAGAGTTGTGAAGATATGATGGTGAGACATCTGTGCTCCATCTTTTTAAACTTGCATTGTCTTTAATCATAGAGCAATTCTTGCATTTGTGATGTGTCAGGAATATATCAAAATACATGTAGCACTTACGATGAGGGTTGGAGTTTCTCTCACATTACTTACTGTGAGAAAGAATTTGAGAACTTCCATTGAGTACTGATTCTAAATAGAAAGGAACAGAAGAATCTCTTCTGGAGAACTACAGTGAAGGGATTTATATCCTGTGACTGTCTCTTTCGGTATGTAACAGTTCGGGAATTTCTTTTAATCTAACATTCTGTGTCATTTATTGTTACTCTGTGTTCTTTGAGAATATATTAAAAAAAAATGGCTTTCCATTTCATTTTGTCCATTTCCCATATAAATTCTATTTTGCTTTGAGGTCTAATCACCTATCTTTTTTTTCTGACCTGTATTCAACCACCACATCTTTTAAGCTAATGTTCTGTTAATTCATACCAACCTGTCCCTTAGATTGGTGTAAATTAGCAAACTTCCAAAGGGAAGCCAGGAATTATTCTAATTTTTGTGTGTTAGATGTCATATAGTTGAGAAAGAGAAGAGTATGGCAGTGTTAATATTCATTTTCACTCAAGTTTTCATGTCCTGTATTCGTTTTGAACATTTGTTCATTAATTCTTTTTAATAGTTCCTGAAAGGCAGAGGTCTTTTTTTTTCTTTTTTTTTTAACACATGGTAGGTACTTTAGAGATGTTCACTGAAGAATGAATAAATACGCTGTGCCAGTATTTCACTAGGGAATAGCTACACTTCCCTTCCTTGTGCCTCCAGTAAAACATAATTATGACACAACACCATCTTAAGAATCTTACTGAACAAAACCTTTCCAAATTCAGAGTGTGTGTGAGAATTACTGGCTGTTCCAAATATCTGAGCAGTTTGCACATACGTGGCTAAATCAGGAAAATGAGCCTGTGGTTTCTGAGGTCTTCACTGCTGTATCCTCTTGTATATATCTCATTTTTATCTTCTCCTTTTCCCTTCACTTTTTCTTATAATTTCTTTTTTTCCACTTAATCATCCTCTTACACCTTTCTGTTTCTGCTGAAATTAAGCAATTGTTCATTGATCTGCAGAAAAAAAAAGCATTTTTAGGTAGAAGGGAATAAGATAATTAAAATCATAATGGGAGCCTTCATAAATGTCCATATCCTAAGCCCTAGAATCTGTTTTCTTTGAAAAGGGACTTTGTAGATGCGATGAGATTAAATATTTCATGATGGGAAAGTTATCCTGGCTGTCGTGATAATCATGATTTAATCACAGATTATAAAAGTGGGGCAAGAGGTCAGAGAAGAGAAGGCATTAGAATGATGTAGCCACAAGCCAAGGAATGCTAGCAGTCTAGAGTAGCTGAAAGAGACAAGGAATGATTTCTCCACTGGAGCACCAAGGGGGAACCAGCTCTACTACACCTTGATTTTAGCCCTTAGCAGAAAACCAGGGCAGTCACTACCTTACAGCACATGTCTGTCTGCTGGTGGGTTCTAGGTCTCCTTAGGGTAGGAACTGTGTCTTCCTTTGTATCCATCATAGAACCTAATAATGAAACCCTAATATTAGATGTTCAAATATATGTCCTCAGTACAGTGAAAACTTATATTCAGTACTGATTCTAAATAGGCAGGAACAGAAGAGTCCTTTCTGGAAAACTGTGGTTAAGAGATTTATATCTGGTGACAGTCTCTATTGCTATGTAATAGTTCAGGAATTTATATTGTTGTTATATTCTTAACTGGGTGATCCGATTGTAGCTATTTCAAAAAGCTAGAGAGTTGCATATTTTTTTTTTTAGCATTGTAGCTTCTATTTTTCCCTAAAAATCTTTTTAGGGTATATGCGCTGAAATTATTTGTGTGAATGTACTGTCTGCTGTTGAGGATAAATAGTGCTAATAAGTGACTATTGCTTAATTTTAATATAGGTGGATGCTTCTTTATCTTTTCTGGATGGTTTTGTGGCTGAAGGACTCAGTCAAGGAGCAGCACCTTATAAACCTCATCACCAACGCCAGGAGGAAAAGCTTTCTCAAGAGAAAGGTAATTTTTTTTAATGAATAATAGTAGCCTAGTGGTGCTGCCAGAGCCATCGACTTCATGTACCTAAGTGCTTAAGATGTGATAGTCATCCTGGATTTTTTTTTTAATTAATCTATTTATTTTAGAGAGTTACAGAGAGAGATAGAAAGAAATCTTCCATCTGCTAGTTCAGTTCCTGATGACTGCAAAGGCCAGGACTGGCCTAGGCTGAAACCAGGAGATTGATTTCTGTCTCCCATGTGGGTGGTAGGGTCCCAAACACTTGGGCCATCTTCTGTCACTCCCCGTCTTCGTGGAGGAACGACACAGGACCCTGCGTTGTTCTTTCGTCTGCTCGGCCCTCCCCGGGTTTGCTGCTGGTTCTTCCCGGGTTGGCTACCGTCCCTTCCACCTCCGTGGAAGTGCGGTTCCCCCTAGCCACTTTCCCCACTTCCGCGGGGGAGCGGCACACCGCCGGCCGGCTCTCTCGGGGGCTGCACAGGTGTTCTTTCAGATAGATGTTCCCGGTGTATGTTGTCTCTCTCCTCCTTTAGAGTCCTCTTCCACCAATCCCAACTCTGCTACCCACACGCCGAGTACGCTGCTCTCCTCCAATCAGGAGTAGGTCCTACAGTTTATTGGTTGAACTGGAGGCAGCTGTGTAGAAGCTGTTTCTCCCTTCTCAGCGCCATATTGTGGGAGAGCAGATGCATAGAATAAGTCTTAATTCCAGTAACTTAGTCTAGTCCGAGTTGCTCCCCACAATCTTCTGCTTTTCCTAGGCCATTAGTGGGGAGCTGGGTTGGAAGTGGAGCAACCAGGACATGAGCTGTTGCTTATATGGGATGCTAGCATCGGCGTCATAGACTGTGGCTTTACCTACTGTATTGAAAGAGTTACAAAGAGGCAGAGGCAGAAAGAGATAGAGGTCTTCTATCCACTGGTTTACTCCCCAGATGGCCGCAATGGCCAGAGCTGGGCTGATCGGAAGCCAGGAGCCAGGTGCTTCTTCTGGGTCTCCCATGCAGGTGCAGGTACCCAAGGACTTAGGCCATTTTCTACTGCTTTCCCAGGCACATTAGCAGGAAACTGGATGGGAAGTGGAGCAGCTGGGACTCAAATTGGCGCCCGCATGGGAGGCTGGCACTGCAGGCAGCAGCTTTACCTGCTACGTGGCAGCTTTACCTGCCATGCCACAGTGCCAACCTCCATTATGGAGTTTTGAAAGAACTTGAAGGTGGAATTGTCATTCTGCTCACTGTTGTAGGGCTGACACATACCACTGTGAACGTATCTGGGACATTTTCTGGAAAAAACCCTGGTGACTATGGACTTAATGAGTTTCATTTTCATTCTGAGCAGTCTGGTATTTTTTAAAGTATTTTAGAGTGCTGCTTTCATATCTGATCAGTGAAGTTAGGAAAGAGCAGCTTAAAAAATGCACCCTGTCGGGGAAAGACATCTTTTGATCTTGGTAAAGGTAAAAATCACTGAGTTATTTGGATGGTGTAAGGGAAATCTGCATGTGAATGGTTCAGAATGTCAGTACTGACTGGTAAGATGCTAAGAATCTTTTTAAGATTGTCATTTAGTGATTTTGTTGAGTGAATGGTTCCTTTTTTTTTTGGAGAGGCAGAGATATTGAATAAGAGCAGTAGTCCCATCTACTGTCCACAGGTTTAGTTCCCAAACTCCTGCAATGGCTCCTCAATCCAGCTTTCCCACATGGGTGGCAGTTACTCGAGCCATCCCAACTGCTTTAGCCATCACACTGCTTCTCAGGTTCCTTACTATCAGGAAACTTGAATCAGGAGCTGGAGGCAGATCTTAAACCCAGGCACTGTGATGTGTGATGCAGGCATCCCAGCTGGTGACTAAACTACAAGCCTAACACCTGCCCCGTGTACTTACTATTTTCTAGGCTCTGTGCTAGACAAATTTAGTTATGAGTATAACTAAACAGTTGTTCCTAAAATGAGACCAAAAAGTTAAAAA